CTAGCCCTATTTGGAAATCCTCTGGCTTTGCCCTCGGGTTCCAAATAGTGTAGACACCCCCAAATATGGTTTAACCTACAAGTTGCTGACTAAAATGACAGACAGAATTTATTTCAAGCATTACAACTGTAATAATCTTCCCAGTTTCAACGTCACTCTGGGTGAATGGTCTATAAAGCCCAACATACACTGAGCAAGTTGTTGCTAGTACCTTAGGCAATTAGCTTGTTGCCAAAAGTTATGAGTCTCTCTACTTTCTGCAAGATGTTGCCCAGTGTTGCTCAACTACATCAAAGGTCTGACCACAAGTTGCTCAGTGTATGTTAGGCTTAAGAGGTATAATTAATTTTATGCAAAAACACATTATTTCTTTATATAGGTCAGTCTAATGTAGCTGAACCAATTAGTTCAATACCTGATGATGTTTTAGGATATGCTGACAATATGAGACAACACTACAGAGACCAACCTATTGTTCCTACAGACTGGCCACCAAAAATTGGAAAAGATTCTTATTTTGGAAGATTAGTCTTAGTAGAAAAAAAAGCATCATGCAGTACACCAGCAGAATCAGATTGGTATTACACAAGAGGGCAAGTTGATAAAATAGTTCAACTAAGTGGAAACAAAGTGATAAATGCTGAAGAAGTTCTCAAACCCACAGATAGTTCTCTATCTCTCAGAGTAGTAATAGACGGTCCTCCTGGTATTGGCAAGACAACACTCTGTCGTAAACTGTTAAACATGTGGTCTAATGGAAAACTCCAACAGTATGACTTGGTACTTTACTGTCCTTTAAGGAATAGCAAAATAGCTACAGCTACTACACTAGCTGACCTGTTTGTACGTCAACTTAATAGATACAAAAATGTACCTGAATGGTTTGAGGAGAGGGATGGAAAAGGATTACTGATAATCTTTGATGGTTGGGATGAACTAAGTGAACAACTCAGACAGTCTTCATTAGCTGCTAGTATCATTCGTAAAGATAAGTTAGACCAATGTTCGGTAATTGTTACCTCTCGTAGCTATGCCTCCTCTTCACTTTTGAAAATGGATACTCTCAGTAGACATGTTCAGGTCATTGGGTTTTCTAAGGAAGAAATATCAACAGTAATTATACAAACACTTCAAAAAGATGCAAGACTAGCACAAGAACTCATTAATGAGAATACAAATGCTCGGAATGAATACAAATTACATTTTACCACTATGCATAATAGTAAGGACTCACAACTAGCAGTGAAACTAATTAATGGTCTCAAAGTACGTGGTGATGTCCGATCATTGTGTTATATACCACTAGTCTGTTCCATGGTCATCTTAGTTTATTGTAAGAAAGGAGGACACTTGCCAACAAAACTCACTGAGCTGTATGAGATTTTTATCCTACAAACTATCAGAAGACATGTGGAAATAAAACCAAAACATGACATTGACCCATTTACTTTAGGTAGTCTTTCTTCATTACCATTACAATTGGCTAGGCCTTTACAAGAGATGTGTCAATTAGCTTATACTAACCTGGCTAATAGAGCAATGGTATTCTCTTTACATGAAATTCAGCCACTGAGTCAGGCAGTCAAGGAAGATTTTCTTGGATTGATGGCAACATTTAGAGAATACGATGAGGTGAAGTATCAGTTCCTTCACTTGAGTATACAAGAATTTCTAGCTGCATGGTGGATAGCTAAGCATGAGAAGACAGAGGAAGTATTTAAAGATCATTTTGATGATGATCACTTTCGAATGTGTCTGAGGTTCG